ATGCTTAATATATCAGAAGATAGTTATTTGAAACCTTTATTTTGTATTTCTTTATTACTGATTACATTTTTTATCCCCACCCCTCCTTCAACCCAATTAAAAAGTAAAGGCATCACTATTGTCTGAAGGATAAAGACAATAAATCATTAATTTTGGGACAAACCAATATTAAAGTGAAAATTTTCAAACTTTAAAATAATGCAGCTTTGTGTTCAGTGCTTCCTCCTCCTCATCATCATCATCATCGGCAGCTCAGTCTGATTAGCGCCCTTGGAGTGTTGTTTATTTCTGGGGTTTAGGCATCGTTTGTTATGGCTGTGCAGGCCAATGCGCAAGTGACAGTCCCTATTGCAGTTGGAGCAGACATACAGGGAAATCTGATTTGTTTGGTTTGCTGCTGCACGCTGCTTTCTCTTGCGTTTCTCTGCGGCTTGTTGGACTCTCCTCCCATCAGTGAATGTTATGCCCTTGTTATCTGTCATTCTCCAGGTGCCACGATCCTAGGCCTGTACTTTTCAGCTGTACGGTGAAATACCGCATGCCTTCATGTCCCTTGCACACATCCCTGAAGAAGAGTGACGGCCGTCCGATTCTTCTGGTGCCAGTGGCCAACTGGCCATTAAGGATTTCCTTTGGCAGCCTCCCATCACACATGAGTCGGACATGTCCCAACCATCGAAGGCGGCGTTTGCTCAGCAGGGTGTATATGCTTGGGATACTTGCACGTTGAAGGATCACGCTGTGTGGAATGTGGTCTTGTCAGCCGATTTTCAGGATGCGTTTTAGGCATCGTATGTGGAAGGAGTTTAGTTTACGCTCTTGCCTCGTGTAAGTGCTCCACGTCTCACTTCCATATAGGAGTATGCTAAGAACACAGGCTTGGTAGACTTGAATCTTGGTGTGCACTGTCAACGCGCTGTTTTCCCACACCCTCTTTATTAGTCGGGCTATAATGGTGTTTGCCTTTCCAAGCCTTCTCTCCAGCTCCAACTCAAGCGAAAGAGTGTTGCTGATGGTTGATCCCAAGTAAATAAAGTTATTGACTACTTCCATGGTGGTGCCGTCACTTTTGATGGAAAGGGGAGTGGTGACATCTTGAGCACTGGCATTTGTTATTTTTAGGCTGGTGGTGAGCCCGAACTGTTTACATGCATCAGCGAAACGGTCTCCCAGTTTTTGGAGCGCATCCTCAGTGTGAGTCACAAGAGTCGCGTCGTCATCAAAGAGCATCTCCCTGATGAGTACTTTCCTCACTTTGGTCTTTGAGCGCAGTGCTTCCTACACAAGAATAATCAAAGCACGAAAGTAATTGTAATTGCCATCAATTGTCTCTTTATTCAGCTGATCGTACATGCGACAAGTCGTTATCCATCGAAGTTTCGCCTACGTTTCGGAAAAGGAATACATATAATTTCTCTATTTAGACGATCTGGATATTGATTGTCAGAATTATAAGACTTCATTTCACTGTTATCGATCGAGAAATCAACAAATCATTATAAAATTTGTAAATACTTTTCATAATCAATTCATTGTTGCCACAAGCAGCTTGTCGGAGGAAAATGGCGGACATAAGTAATGCATGGAGGTGTCTAATTTATACTCGATGATTGGTTAATTGAGCCAGTGTGATTGATAAGTGGCAATAGGTAAATTTTTTACTAACGGATGTTGTTGTTGTTAGTAGTAGTAGTAGTAGTAGTAGTAGTAGTAGTAGTAGTAGTAGTGTTGAAGGTGATGATGGTACATATTACTTTTACGTTTATTGGATATTTCAAATTTATGTGAATTGAGTAGTTAAAATAGATTATTATTATTATTATTATTATTATTATTATTATTATTATTATTATTATTATTATTACAAGAGTATAATATATATGTAAAAAAAAAAACATTTATATAATTTTGGGTTTTTTGCCCTTCATTATTTTTAATGAACTAATAAAATGAGATTTTTACCTTTTCTTAAGGCGGTCTTAAATGGTCATATTATTTGTTTGTGGATACATCTCATATTCCTTTGTAGAGGCGTCTCGTACACGAACAATGTAACCAACGAAGTCCACAACAGCATTAACAACCCATCTGATCCTATAAAGACTTCTTGACCACTGTGAAAAAAATGCGCAAAATGAAGCACGGTCATGACTCTAGACCGGGCTGGCAAAAAACAATCTTGCAAGTCACAGTGCGAGGGTGCAAAAGAAGAGGCAAACAGAAAAAGAGGTGGGAATACAACATTAATGAGTGAATATGCATGGGATTTGGAGACTCCTAAAGGGCAGTAGAGAACGGGGAAAGATGGAGAGAATTGGTTGTAAAGTCAACTGTGATGCCCCAACGACCTCTTGGATTGAGGGATTCATGATGATGATGATGATGATGATGATGATGACGACGATGATGAGACTATAAAACTATGGTTTGTGCAGTGGACAAAATTGATAAGACAATACAAATATATGTTGCCTATATTGGAATATAGTTTTTAATTTTTAAGGTGGAAAATCAATTTGTTTAAGAAAGATGGATTGCATTTGAAACGTTGTTTCGCTCAAAATTAGATACTAATTATACTTTCCTTACAGCATATAGAGTGAAGACGTCCCCTGCAGCGTAGCAGTATAACCACCCCGCCAGGGCAAGCACACTTGGTCGTAATCCTTGGGTAGGAAGAAGCAGGCCAGGAATCTGAAAAGGTTAGGGACAAAGGTCTTTCATCGACCAGCAGCCCGGCGCTACAAGGCTCGTCCAAGTATTTCAGAGGTCTTGCGACAATACACGTTTAGACCTAGGATAGCTCTTCTTTCGTCATTTTCGCACTGTCGTCTCTCTCTATCGATCTCAAGCGGATAACGGCGACCAAGACTGCAACAGTCGGCGACCCTGCGACTCAGTCGGCGACTCTGCGACAAGTCGGCGACTGCGATCAGACGGCGACCCTGCGACCAGTCGGCGACCCTGTGACCAGTCGGCGACTAAGACTGCGACAGTCGGCGACTCTGTGGCCAGTCGGCGACTCTGCGACCAGTCGGCGACCCTGCGACCCAGTCAGCGACTCTACAATAAGTTGGTGACTGCGACCAGTCGGCGACCCTGCGTCCCAGTCAGCGACTCTACAATAAGTTGGTGACTGCGACCAGTCGGCGACCCTGCGAATAGCTGTGACCAAGTCGGCGACCCTATGACCAGTCGGCGACCAAGACTGCGACAGTCGGCGACTCTGTGGCCAGTCGGCGACTCTGCTACCAGTCGGCGACTCTGCGACCCAGTCGGCGACTGCGACCAGTCGGCTACCCTGCGACTAGCTGTGACCAAGTCGGCGGCGCCCAAGAAGCCAGAAATAAGCCGGTATCCCGCTGAGGTGGAAATCTGTAGCACTCTGGAGTGACGTTACTCAGACAGATTCAGCGGGGTATCACTCCAACTATATGACCTATGATAAAGAACCCCACATAGCGAGACTCGGGGCAGTGTAGCCGAGATCAGTTCCACTACAATATTGCTCAGGAAAAAAAAAAAACCTTTATATATAATAAGCAAAACAAGATCAATAGTCACATAATGGCAAAGGGCAAAGTGATGGTGACCGCTTTATAGTACAGACTCTTATGCAAAAACGAGTGCTTAGTCTCTGTAATGTTGTTGCTAAGCAGATGATGTAGTACAGGCGAGCTAGTCTTAGCAACTACGTTTTCTAGCATGTAATATTTATGGACTACACATGGTTGGTGGCATGACGTCCTATTTCCAACTTACCAGTGCATATAGTTGCCATACGAAGGTAGTTGATGACAGATGTTTTTCTTCAGGGGCATTGGGCTTCGACACAGGCACTGCCATGTGCTGCAGTATTGCCTTCCACGATGCCATCCTGGGCATATTGTTTTCAAAATACTCAGCTAGAGTTCAACTGACCCTTTCCATTAGGACCTGTTATTAGTAGATCGCAGTTTACAGCACAAGGGATTTACGAAAAGCATTATGTTAAAACAAAACATCAGCAATGTATAGCAAACTTTAATATTATAACCAGGGACAATTTCCAACATTTACTAATTAAAGTCAGCATTATAATTTGTATTCCAGAATGGTATTCAAACAGTTTTGCATACTGATGGTCCGATGATCTCTAAACATTTGCAAATGCCAGCTTGGCAGTGCCCCCTACAATTACATCATTACTATCAATTTGTCTTATAGTAAGCAAGGTTAGTCTATGATGCTTGTGCGCTATGAGTGGTCCCGGATCCCATTATTCCAAGTATGAGGTAAACAGAGTGAAATGAGTAATGGTTTATTTTTCCATATTAAGACAAGCTCTATTTAATATTGGAGATCACATATCCTTCTATATTTAGTTCTCATAGTTAGCTGTGCAAAACATGGCTGAAGCAGGACTTTGACTTTGCAATAACTGGTCATGAGAACCCCAATATGCCAATGACTGACATTGATCTGCCAGACGAAATATTAGAAACCTTGCTTTTCAGCCCTTTTGGACACTAACCAAACATTGCAGTAGTGGAAAAGTCATCTACAAAGCCTCAGGAAAGACGATTTACTAACAGCTCAGAATAAAATATGTGATGCAAATCTAGGTGGATGAATTGTAAAATGCCAAAACAAAAAGGCCCATCTGTGTTGACTGTACTAAGAAAAATGGCAAAGTAATGTTCTGGAGACAAAAGATATGGCGTGAGCATAGAAAAAGCTGTGCAGTATGCCTTTCCCTAAATGGAAGAAACTTTAGGTGTGGGGGGTATTTATGATTTTTAACGTAGCTTTAACAATTTTTCAGTCATATCACTACAATGTCTGCAGTGTGGCAGTTTATAGTGATGTCTACCACTGTAGAATCATGCCGCAGACATGTAGCATTATGTCCCACCCAGTCACATTATCCTGACACCAAACCAACCAGTCCTAACACTAACCTCTTAATGCTGAGCGTCAAGCGAGGCAGCTGTTAGTACCATTTTTGTAAGTCTTTGGTATGACTCGACCCCGGATCGAACCCATGACCTCCCACATCTGAGGCAGATGCTCTAACCACTAGGCCACCGGAGCGGTTAGAACCTTTAGGTGGACCATCTAGCAATAGAACAGTCATTAAAAGTGGTCAGTCAATAGGCAGCACGAAAGCTACTAAATATTCAAAAGGTTCCTATCAGGCATATAAGGGTATACGGATGTTGAGCTGTTGATGGTTCTGGGTGCAGGGAAAACAGCAATCATGGAGCTGGAGCAAGGAACCCAACAGCCTCCAAATGAAGATCCTGAATCTCAAGAACACTCTGCAAACTAACAAAGGTGTTCTTGCAAACAGTGCAACCAAAACCAAATGAAATAAAGAAAACGACATATAATGATCCCAAGATTAAACAGAGTGTAAGTTGCCTCACACCTAACTTGAGGCTAATGATGAACTTGATGGATTTTCCCAACACTCTATAAAGGCTATGCAGCCTTGGTACTGCTATCCATATACCAGTTACACCATGCTTGGGATTTTTCTGTTTGTTTTAATTTCTTATTTTGTTTTGTGGAGGTTTTTGGGGGGAGAGGCCCTGATTGTGAAAGTGCTAGAGTAGGCAAAAAAAGAGGGATGATTGGCCAACCAGAAAAAATTTTATTTGGCCTTACTGACTCCTATAGATTTACATTTAAAGAATGCTTGCCCTTGGGGTGGAGTACAAGACACACAACAGCTGTGAAAAGTGGACTTGGCTACTAGACATGAATAGTGTGATAGATTTTTTTTCATTCTCAAATGTTCTTCACTTAACTGGGTAAATGTCTTGCAGATTTAAATATATAACTTTCATCTTGCATTGTGGAATTCAATGTGTAGTAATTGGGCCATACTCCAATCCACATAATCACTACTGTACATTTTCTGAAAGTGTATTGATTGGAAGCACAACTCTATTTCATTAATAGTAAAAGTAAAATAAAGTGAAGGTTGCTCTCATAACACCACTAAAATAGAAGTGATTCAAATATGTCAATAATTCAGTGATAGCTTTAAATCCATTTTTCATAAAGGAAAGGTTATGCCTGATGTAGATCCCATATGGCAGTCAGGGTGGGCATGCTTTTTGACCAGTTTAAGTAAGATTTAAACTGTTGCCAAGGTCCCATTTTGATGGTCTCTCAAATTATGTGATGCTACAGAACTGATAAGGCCTACAAAGAGCATCTCTGCCTTAAAAGGTGCAGCCTATTAAAATCTACTTGATATGGTCCAGCCAATCCAATATTTCCACATGTCCAAGGAGTGGGGCTAAATAGGCCAAGCTGGAGAATGAATTCAATACCTTGAGACAAAACACCAGTCAGAGTGTAGAAGTGGTGCAGAACACCTCTTCTGCTGCCTTGCAGACTCCTGACCCCAGAAGAATTTATATGTATGTACCAAATCATTGCTGACTGGAGAGAATCTTCTTCTCCTCAGTGTATGAAGGCTAAAGACACAATAAACAGATTAGAAGGCAGCAAACTTCATTCAATGCTTATCAAATGCCATTATTTCCTCCTCCTCCAACACATGACACAACAGATGGAATGGTGCCTGGAAGGAGGAGGAGGAACTGTGACCACTGATTTCTCTGAGAACTCATTTGAGTCCACCATGATGGAATGGACATCATCATCATGAAGCCACTCTCTCTCTCTCTCTCTCTCTCTCTCTCTCTCTCTCTGGAAATGAGACATTAAATTAGGTTTCTGTTGTCCCAAAGCCATTCATGTTGAGGAGAAAATGGAACTAACCCTACTAGCTGTCCTCTTTAGGTCAATGGGATTGCTGATCCTCCTAGACTGTCTAGGAGGTCAGTGTTGGCCCCACTCCTTTTTGTGGGACAAAACCAAAGATAAAAAGGCAGGTACTTTGCTTGTCATGTCCACCCTACACTGAAACCAAAGACAGTTACATCTAAGATGATATGAGGTTGTGGAGGAAGACCCACATCCCAGAAACTGGGGCCCCACATCCCATAGGGATTAAATAGGATCATAGGGAAAGCCCCATGCAGACAGCTGTTTATCTGAATATGGAAAGAGAAGAGAATTTCAGTACATGTTGGCTTAACAATTGTTCATCAGCTCTGATTCTTAAATTCTGCATAAACTTCAGCTGTAAGTACCTGTGAGCTGAAGATTTACAGATGCTTACATTTTATTTCAATCTGATAATCTTAAATGGCAGTCATCTCTATGATTTTCTAATTTTCTTGTCTAAAACATTCAATATTTTTTTCTCTGGTTACAAGCTGGATTTTTTAGGGTACCATTATATTTTCTACAATGGCTTCCAAGGAGCAATGTCAGTTATGCCCAGCATCATTTAGGCAAAATTGTAAGGTTCAAAACAATTTGATATCAGCCCCTCACTCAAGACTAAAGTTTGTTTGTGTGTTGTGCTAAAACAAAATATGTGTTTAACAGAGACTGCAAGTTGGAAAATCATGCAAATTCTTACCATCCTGACTAGATAAGAAATCTAATAGAAGATATCATCAGGAAGAATAATGCATCTTGACTGGTTTTCCACTCAGAACACTATATCAGGGCATTCTGCAGGAACTCTTCTTCAGCTGAAATAGCATCTTGGCTCATCCTTGAATGGATAATGAGAACCAGCGATGCAAGCTGAAAGAACATAAATGGATGCAAGGATGGAAGGCTTACAGGGATGGCTGATCCATCATCAATAGTTGGAAAGGTATTTTATACCAGATTATCAGACTATGAAAAGAAATGCCTTAATGTAGGCCAGATAGGGAGGTGAGAAATAGTTGACTGTAATTCTGTCCAAAATAAAAACAAGATATGATGCCTGTTTATTGGATAGACACATCAACACATTATGACCCCAAGGTCCTCAACAACACTGGAAGAGCATGGAAGAAGAAACATGTCAAGGAGGTATCTATCCTTTTGGCTGTTCCTGGTGTTATGACTCTATGGTCTGCAACTAAATAACAGAAATACCAACAAGTTTTGTAAAATTCAACAAATAATTTATTTCCCTGGAATACAGAGTGAAAATTTAATAAGAACAAACAGTATTGTGAATTAAATCCCAAATAGTCCTAAAGGTTTATCATAAGTCCAAATGAATTCCAGTGATATTTCAAATTAGTTCTATTATTGAATGTGTTGATGTGCCATAGTCTCAGATGTGGTAGTATGTCAAATATCTGAATTGTGATGATGTACTAAGTCTTCAGATGTATCACAATAATATAATCCAACAATGTTTTATCTGAATTCACTATAATTCAAAATTAGGTCAAACAATACTTCTGATGAGCACTTTTTATTTCCAGTGAATAATAATTTTAATAAATAATTTTACTCACATGAAAATCTGAACACAACAATAAGACTGATCCTACTTCATGTTAAGGCAAGAATGGATAATTTCTCAAGTAAACAAAATTATATAAAAATCTAAGATACAATAATAGAACCAGGATGAGGGTCAAAAGTTCATTTTCTAAAATTATAATAAAGAACATGGCACACATCAGGTCACTGGATTTTCCATTGGGGAATAACAATGTCCTTAACTCAGAAAGATTAAGATAAACAAGTTTACCTCCATTGACAATGATCCTAATATTTAAATTATACTCACAGAGAAATATTAGCCATGTATCATGTTTTAAAATCAATAACCCAAGTAATGTAGACAGTGAACATGATTTTGGACTAATGTCAATTACAAAATACAATGAATGTATACATAATATTAAACATGGAGAAAAAGTCAACTAACAATACAAATGAAATATATGTAACACTGATAGTTCTGTCAATGAGACAATGAGACATGTGTCCAGGTGCACTTTAAGTACAGAGAGATCTGAGAGCAGAATTTTCACTTCTCTTGAAATGATATTCAAACTGCTGAAAGACAGCCTCAATAATGCACCAACGAAGAATACAAACACCACCACCACTCCTGCAGAACCCAAACCAGCAATCAATCCAAGAAATGCAATTTCATTAAAAAATTTAAAGCCAAGAAGAAAACATACTATGCACCCCCAATACCTATGACTAAATACCAGACACTGCTGATGTAAACAACATCCAGGTAACTTCAACATTAGCAATGATGTTTCCACATGGCAATAGGATCAAATGTTAGCAACAGGTACCTAGAGAGCAGAGCCAGTTTGGGGGTCCTAGTCATACCTTAAAAGTAACCAGAATTGCAGCTCAATCTCTCAGGCTCAGATATAGAGTATTACATTGCATTTCCTTGTGCATGTGTGTCATTTTGTTAAATTTATTAATAAAGTACTAAACTGCTAACACAACCAACACCGAAAGTTTGTGTTTGGGTCACCAAATGGCTCCCTGCTGCATGTGCCTTGTGTGCCTATGCTTTAAAACTGCACCTGGTGTGAACCATGCCAACATTTTTAAACCAAAGCTCAAAAATGTATGCAAGAAAAAGCCATATCTCGATTCTGCCAAATTGCTTCTTTAAACTGGATGCATGCCCTTCTCTTCCTGGAGAAACTTTTATCTCATATCAACATCTGTTTAGATTATTATATTGCTTTCTCTGGTCAAATCTCTTGTCTTTATTGACAAGCATAGTGGTGCATGCCAATATGACGCTCTGCATCATTTAATCACATCAAGTCCTTTTCTCGATTATTTATACCTAATTTTATCCAAAACTCATCAACTGCACAAGTATGACTTGGATATTAACTCTTTACTGAGGGACTACTTTTAACCACATGAACAATGATGTTGTAATGTGTGGTTGTCTGCACTGAATTCTAATACTTTGATTTAAGTCATAGTTTAATATATCAGAACCTTTCATATGGCAGAGTTTTCAAGCATCCTGAAAATTTTTTACTGTTGAATCTGCTCTTTTTAACTGTTCATTAGAAAGTTGGTGAATAACCATAGGCCATATATGGAACTAGTGTTCATGGCTTGGCAGACAATTCCTAAATTACATTTGGCACCATTTTAAGCAAAACCAAAAACAACAGATGCAACATAACTATTTCAACCTCATGTTACAGTGTCTGGTG